CCCCCGGGCAGCCTACACATGGGGGCAATAACAGCCAGGGTGTGGAAGGTGCCGGAGAGAGTCCACTGGGATGGGCAGCCAGGAGTGCACCCCCGGGTCCGGAACCGATGCACACGAAGGGGCCTCAGGCCACCAGTCTCTGAGGGTGGCAGCAATCCCAGCTGCCCCAAGCCTGCCACCTTCTCGCTGGTGTGGCTGGGTCAGAGGGCAGGCGGAGGGGCCACCCCTCCCCAAGGGGACCTCCCCCGGCAGGTGGGCTCAGGGGACTGTCCTGCTCCTTTGCTCACACCGGGCCACCCGCCAGCCATGGAGGTCTGAGAGCCCAGACTCATCACAGGCTCCTGCCAAAGAGGCCCCACCCCACAGAAAGGTGAGCCCGTCCCACGTGGGCAGACGGGCAGGTGGTTCCAGCAGCACCCTCCCCTACTGCTTCCCTGACATCTGCCTAGTGGGGACCTCCCACCACCTGGAGGAGCTTGGCAGCCACAGCCGTCCACCCTCTGGCTCCTGTAGAGGCAGGAGGCCTCGTGACACCCCCAGCTGGGCCTTGTTCCTGGACTGTTGGCACCTGCAGCCGTCCTCCCCTCCGTCCACCCTGGGCGGAGGGGGGAGGAGTATCTGCACCCCTCCCCCTCCTCCCTTTCCACCCACTACTCCACCCAGGAGCCCCTCAGGCCCTCTTACACCTGACCTCCCCACTACCCCAGAGCCTGGTCTCCCCTTCCACTTCCTCTCCCCTTTGAATGCATTGCTCCAGCCCTGCCACAGACTTCAGAAGCCACCACTGCATCCACCTCGGCCCCTCTGTGATCAACTGTGGCCCCCATCTGCCAGCCTGGCCCCTCTGGCCCAGGCAGCTCCGACTGGCCTGCCCAGAATCATTCCCACCCTTCTCCCCTGAGGCTTCCGGGTGCTGTAGGCAGCCCAGCAGGAGGCTGCTGGTGACTGGCCAGGGCGTCGGTGTGTCCCCAGCTCTGGCTGGGCAGAGACCTGGAGTTCCAGGGGATTCTTAGACAGAGGAGGGGGCGGCCAAGCCAGGGGCAGTCCTGGGGGTGGGGCTGGGAGCTAGGCCTGGCGGGACAGAGCGGCTGTCTCTGCAGGGACTGAAGAAGCCCAACGTGGAGGAGATCCGGCACGCCAAGAACGCGGTGTTCAGCCCGTCCATGTTCGGCAGTGCCCTGCCCGAGATCATGAGCATGCAGAAGGAGCGCTACCCAGAGCGGCAGCTGCCCTGGGTGCAGACCCGGCTGTCTGAGGAGGTGCTGGCGCTCAACGGTGATCAGACAGAAGGCATCTTCAGGTGCCCAAGGCCTGGGCCCGGGGGTGGGGGTGGAGGTGGCTCCACTGTGTGGGACTTCAAAGCAGCCAGTGAGGCCAGCGTTCGTTCAGGTGGGGAAAGGCACCCTGGGAGGCAGGGCCAGCGGGAGGGCTGGCTGGGTCAGTGCCCCTGCAGAAATGACCACGAGGGCTCAGGGAATGCTTGGACTTGAGCCATGAGCAGGCTGAGGTGGGAGCCCAGGGTGGCAGCAACCCGGCCGGCAGTCCTCACCGTGACAGGACAACTCCCTGCCCATGGCAGTGGGACTTGTCGCGTCACCTGCTGTCCCGACTCACCTGCCCAGGCCCCAGAAAGGCAGCTGGGTAAACCGATGGTGGGTTTGGGCCTCCGTGCCCCTGAAGAGGAATGCATGTGTATGGGAGTGGGAAGGAGTCCCATGGGGGTGGGGGGAGGGCTGAGCAGCCCTGCTGGGAAGCCAGGATCCTCCTCCCTGACACCCTCCTTCTGCTCAGAGTCCCCGGGGACATTGACGAAGTGAACGCCCTGAAGCTACAGGTGGACCAGTGGAAGGTGCCTACAGGCCTGGAGGACCCCCACGTCCCTGGTGAGCCCCAGGCCCCTGGGCAGCAGGAGCAGGCCCAATCCAGGTGATGTAGCGGCTCCCAGTTCTTTTCCAACAAGGGCCGCCTCCTGTCCACTGGACAGCCACCCTGGGCCCTCCCTGCAGCCTTGCCTGCTCAAAGCAGCTGCACAGCCCCCTCAGAGAAGTCATATTTTGGGCCTGCATAACCCCCCCGCCTCCAGGATCCGTCCTGGCTCTCAGGTTCATGACCTCTATAGGCCTGGGTCATCGCAGCCCACCTCCGCCAGGTGGACCCTTTCGTCTGGTCTGCCAGTCGGCCCTCAGGCTGCCTGCTGCCTGCCCTCTCCTTTCACGCTCTTGTTGCGGAGTCTGTTATGTGCTCCATACTGCTGCCTGCCTAGGGGTGCCAGCCCTTGGGCCTGGCTGAGCTCCTCACTGTGTCTGCAGCGTCTCTGCTGAAGCTGTGGTACCGGGAGCTGGAGGAGCCCCTGATCCCGCACGAGTTCTACGAGCAGTGCATCGCGCAGTACGAGAGCCCAGAGGCTGCCGTAGCTGTGGTGCACTCGCTGCCCCGCATCAACCGCCTGGTGCTGTGCTACCTCATCCGCTTCCTCCAGGTGTGTGGGGCCCACGGACGCCGCCCCCCCAGCACCCCCCCACTCCAGGCACGCTCTGCCCCACCGTATGCCCCTCCCAGGCATGCCCTGCCTTTGCCCACCAGCCACTGCCTCTTGCAGGTATTCGTGCAGCCTGCCAATGTGGCCATCACCAAGATGGATGTAAGCAACCTGGCCATGGTGATGGCGCCCAACTGCCTGCGCTGCCGATCCGACGACCCGCGCGTCATCTTCGAGAACACTCGCAAGGAAATGTCTTTCTTGCGCGTGCTCATCCAGCATCTGGACACCAGTTTCATGGAGGGCGTGCTATAGCGCGTGGGCTGAGGGACCGAGGGTGGGGACAGAGCCAGGCTCGGTGCACCAGGGCAGGGGAGCACGTGGGGAGGGGGGAGGGAATGCCCCAGCCATGGAGGTAGCATGCCAGGCTCCAGCCACGCCCGACCCAGCCCTGGAACATCACCCCCCTCCCCCAGGACTCGGCCAGGGTAGAGGGACTTTGAGAAGGGTGCCTCTGATTCCACCTGCCTCATGGCCAGTTCCAGGCTACTGCCCCATCCCCCACCACAAGCCAGCCACGGGTCAGCCCCAAGAAAGTGCCTTCTGTTTCCTGGAGCCAAGTGACACTGCCCCACCCGGGCACTGAGGGCACCAGCAGCCTCCCAGGGGCTCCTGTGCTCAGTCTGGGCCTGGCTTGGGCCCTCCCAGGTCACCTCTCTCTCCCTCAATCTTCTGACCTGCAGTTTCCTCCCTCCCCAGCCCCCATTCCCTAGCCACCTGTGGCCTCCAGCATACTAACTGCACAGGAGTTTGGGGGCTCCAGGGCACTGAGCTATCCAACATCAGAGCCTGGCCCAGGCAGAGCCCGGCAGGCTATCTCTGGGTGGGGAGGGACCCCCAAACCAAAGTCCTCTGGGGGGGACAGGCGTGGGCAGGCATTCTTGGGGCAGGGTGGGGGAGGGACGAGAGTATTTTTTCTTGGTGTAACTATAAATTCAGAATCTATCCTGCAGCCCAACCCTCCTGTGTATAGAGATATAGAGGGAAAGATATAAGAACTACATTTGCTAATGACATAGTTTTAACCCAAATGCTATTTATCTCCAAGCCATCCTAACCCGTCCTCTGTGCAGAGCAAGTTATCATTCCTTTTTCTTCTCCACTTCTTGGCTTCTGACCAAAAACCGGACCCTGCCCCTCCCCAGGGGGAGAGGGAAGGAGCTGAGGGCGCCCAGGACTGCCCTTCCTGGAGGCCAGAGCTGGGGAGAGGGGACCCCTAGACTCTCAGTTTGTACATTTTCCATTTTGGAATTTTCAGTTTCAATTATAAAACTTAATTTCTCCCCAGTTTTTATATATATATATATTTTTAGAGTTGAGTTTTTATTTATTAAAAAAGCCCGGCCCTGCAGAAGCTCGGGTACCCTTGGGTGGTGTGTCCTCAGTCGGGTGATTTTGGGCCTGAGTGGGGCGACCTAGCCACAGACTTTTGCTCTGACGCATGGACTGAAGAGGTGACAACTGTGTGAATAAAGTACATATGGAAACTTGGGAGCCATGGTCACTGATGTTCCTAAGGGTGGCTGCGGAGGTATGGCCAGCCCGTTGCTGGTAAGGGCCTCTGGATGGACAGGCCAGAGGAGAATGGGGGAAGCAGCAAGTTGGGGGGGTGGAGGTGGTGAAGGCGGGGAGGGGGAGAGCA